TTCGAAAGAGTGAGAGAGAGACGAGATTGAAGTCGAAGGAGAAAGTCGGGCGGCATCGGCTAGTTAGGGTTAGGGATTTAGAAAGTAGAATTAGATAGGAATTTTACCAATTTCACTCGTTTATTTCGGTTTTTGGTTTTAATTGGATTTAAAAAAAACCAAACCGAACCGAAATAAATTTCAGTTTTTCGGTTCGATTATAAATTGTATAATTTTAAATTTAAAACTGAACCAAATTTCATAATTTGGTCCGATTTGATTCGATTTTCGGTTAACCGAACCATTTGCTCACCCATATTCCTAACGATTAGGTTATGCTTTAAATGAATATTTATTTTTAAAATAATAAATGTAACGATGTTAAACTTATGAATGTTGAAAATTTTTACTTAGAATTTGGGTATGCATGTTGAGACAAAATTATTTAGAAATATTAATTATGGCGAGAGATGTTTTATAAATATGAAATTTTAGAATAACGCTTACGCTATGATAATAAGAAAATCTTATGATTATATATTATTAATTATATTTTTAAATTGACATATTTAAATAAGATTAATTTAGGAACTTAATTTTAAGAAAAATAAAAAAGGATATAAGTTTTAGTAATGACCCGTTCGATCATGACCCTTCGGATGAGATGTCTCGATTGACGAGCGTTACAACAAGTGGCTTTGGCTTTCCTATCGAAAATGAGAAGAAAAAAACATTGAAAAAAGACAAGAGCATCAACTCGCTCAATCTAAAAAATGAAGAAAATGACAAAAAAAAGGCCCAAAAAGAAAATTAAAAGGAGAATCAATCGATCGTAAAAATGAAGTTTCTTAAATCCATTGAATGGCAAAAGAGAAATTAGCAAAACACTAGGGGTGAAAAATCAAGCAACACAATGAACAATGAATCTAAGTCTAAAACAATAGTAAATGAACAAGTAAATATCTCGAGTTCTTTTAGTTTTTTTCTACTGATATATATTAAATTAAAAATAAAAGATAATTTTTTTTTATCTAATTTCATAATTTTTAATCAAATTGTGTATTTCATTCGTTCTTTTTTATGTTTTTCATAGATTTTGTTGTTAAAAAACATGATTCATTTTTTTATTCATTCGTTCTTATATAAAAACCAACAATAATATAAATACAAAATTTTAAAAAATATCTTAATATTTTTTCATAAGACTATATCGGAGAAATATATCAACAATCAATATAAAAATTAAATATTGAATCTTTTTTTTTTTTTTAAATATGTACATTTAATATATAGACATACACACACACACACACTCTCTCTCTCTCTCACACACACACACAAACAATCAATAATATTAGGTATAAAAACATGTCTATGAATTACTAGGTGGTTTTTTAAAATATTATTTATTTAAAATAAATTAAAGTTAGAATATAAAAAATAATTAATAGGAAATAGTTGATGTTATATGTGTAGATGCATAATTAATTTCTAATAAAATCAATTATCTCAATACTCTTTTGTATACATTATTACAATACTTTGTACAAATTAAAAAATATGTTTAAAAAAACTTAAGTTGTAAGAAATACATTAAAATTGATACAATGTAATAAAAATAATTTAAAATTTTATTTCAAAAAATTGATTATATCAAGAATAAGGTAAAGAAATACGTGAATTCTATTATTATTAAAAAAATATATATATATTAAAAATTCATACACATAGAAAGATACATCATATTTATTAACAAATAAAATTTCATAAGAAATAAAAAATTTAATTTGATGAGGATATTTATAATGAACAACAAATTTAAGATATTCATTTTAATCAATAAAAAAATATAATCCAATATATGTGTTTGTTTTGAAATTTAAAAACATAAGATGCCAAAAACATTTTTTTTAAAATATGAGGAATAAAAAAATATATTTTGAAAACATGTAAGACAAAAATGGATTAAATTAAAAACATCAGATGTCAAAATATTTTTAAAAATATGAGAATTTAAAAATATGTTTTGAAAATATAAGGAATCAAAAAGGAATAAAGTGTAAAATTTGAAAATGAATGTCCAAAAACCTATAAGAAAATTACAATCTTTGAACAGTAATAAATAGTGACATGAGACAAATAAACAGTAATTTACTGTTTATTTGTACCAAATTTTTTAGTGTTTTACTTAGCTTAATGTCTCAAGAGAGACGAAGAGAGAGGAGACGAAATTGACAAAAAAAGAACATGATCAAGAGAAAGAAAGGAAAATGAACAAAGGAAATGAAAAAAGACAAAAAAAGGCTGAAGAAAAACAAAAGGTAAGTTGATGGTATGCTGTTCTTTTGTTGTGCATTTTTTTTCTTTTTGGCTATTGTCTTTTCGTCATTTTCTATTTTTTTCCTGCCAAAGCATTTAATGCTCTTGACTTTTATCCTTCCTTCTTGCCTTTTTTATTTATTTATAATTTTCCGTCTCATTTCATCCTTTCCTTTCTTTCTTTAATCACCTTCTTTCTTTTTTTTTTTACTTTTTATTTAATATTTTTCTAGGCATTTTTTATTTTGTCTTGCTGGTTCATTTAATGCTCTTGGCTTTTGTGCTCCTCCCTTGCCTTTATTTTTAGTAATTTTTCGGTCGATTTCATCATTTCTTTTCTTTCTTTAGTCACCTTTTTTTTTTTTTTTGTCATCTAATCCGACGATTGCGAGAAAAGCTGACCACCAACGGACGGATCAAATCAAACCAAAATACGAAAACAATGCACTTCAATCACAAAAACATATTGACACTGAGTCTGGAACAACAGTAAACCAATGGTGTTTACTCCAGTTCTTTTAATTTTTTTTTTAAATATCGCTTGTTGTAATAAAAACATAAAAATAAATTTTAATCTAGTTTTAAGGTGACTACTCAAGCACATATACCAGATTTGTCAAAATTATAGTTCTTTTTTTCAGAAGATTAATGGACAACGTCTAATTGAAAAGTGTTAAAATATACATATGCATGCCATATGCATAAAGATGCATGGGATACATTACAGGTGAAAGAAGAAGAATTTGTTATAACTGTTATACCCTGCACAGCACCTGAGAATTATAATTGCTGCCAATCGTCAACTGATCCAAGAAGCTAAGAGAATGAATCCATCTCGTGACTTGCAGTAGCCAATGATTGGCATACAAGAAATAGCAAACTTAACAATTCTGTTTTTCTGTTTTCTAACGAACTAGAATATTCACTGTTAGTATATATTTTGTAGGCAGTGGAATGTAAAAGATCTGTGAGTTTTGAATCATCAATGAATATAGAATTCCTTATTTCTTTATGTTTTAACAAAATGTTTTCTTCTAAATTCATGTTGTTGCCTTGGAGGTGGTAGTGCATTATTCTTAATAGATCTTGTTTGTGGTTTTTTGTTTTGTTTTTAAGTATCTCAATCTTATATATTGTAAATAAGATTAATCGTGTTTTGAGTGAAAGCAATAAAATTTAACTCATTTTAACAAATATAATTTTAAAATTTGAAATTTATATATTAATGAAAAATTCATCTCGAGAATCGATCGCGTAACACCGGATTAATAATTTGTTAGTTGTGGTTTTTTTTAGTATAATGCTAGGATTTCCTCCACTGTTATTGCTTTTATTGGGATTAAACTCTCACTTTGGATAGAAAAGTGTGTTCTTCATGAATAAAAACTTGAACATCTGCAAATCAAATTATTGAAAGAATAATCAGGAAACTAAGAAAAAATAAAAATTGAAACCCATCAAATATTGCAATCCGCACGAGAGTTGCAAAAAAAAAAAAAAAATACGTGGGTAGTTACATAGAATAAAATCTAGATTTCGGTTGCAAATTATTTTATATTGGAAAGTATCAACCAAGTATGATATAAAGATATATTACGTTATTCATCTAACCAATACGATATAAAATTTTTTATTTTCATCAATACCATCTACGAGTCCTTTATCAATAGCAAAATAAAATTAAGATATATATAATAAAAAATTTTAATATTAAAAAGTATCCACTATTATTCTTTCTTACTAGCTATCACATCTATACTTTTTATCTAATTTTTCATTAAAACATTGAAGAATTATGAAAAAAGATAAATAAAAGTTGACTCTTATATAAATAGAATGACATATTGGATATATGATAATATGGCATCACTTAAGACGTAACTGTTTGAACACGTCAAATGCGTTATTTGATGATAATTTTTTTTAAAAAAAATAGAGAGACAATAATTGAGAGAATTAAAACAGTAAAGGGTCTTGATAAAAAAAAATAAAAGAAAAACGTAGACTAATTTGAATCTTTAATTTTCATTTAACTATAGCATTGATAAAGAAAAAAATGATGTTGCTAAGTGAGAATTAAAATTGGTAGAATTTGAGAATTTTTTTGAGAAACTAACCTCCTAAATTTTTATTACATCTGTTTTAATAAAATTTAAATAAAAAAATTAAGTTTTCTATTGATTTTATCTTTTTATTTTTGTAAATTTTAATTAGTTTATTTTCTTCTTTATTTTTTGGATAATATTGATATGTTTTATAAAGTTGAAGGATGGAATTGAAATTTACATGCTCAATAGAAATGGGCGAAGGGGGAAATTAGAGCATGAATCAAAGAAGTGGGGGCTGATTGAAATAAAAAAAAACTATAATAATGGTTCCCAATGATCAATATATGTCCCAAGAAAGACAAATCACTAGAAAAGGTAATCCTTCAAATTCTCGAAAGAAGTATTTTTGCATAAGACTCAAATTTGCAAACCACACATTGGAAAAAAAAAAAGAAAAGAAAAGAAGAAGAGAATCCCACTATAGATGGGCCGTGGCTGGGTTGGAGCTGGGACAATGAACCACGAATACTATGAAGCCTCTTGTGCAGGAAACTGGTGAATGGAGCTATGTACGTGTCTTAAAATTATGTTACGAAGAGCTCTAATCCAAGATAGGTAGAGACACGCCAAAAAAGAAGAAGGTGCCCAACTCCAATGGCGGGAGATACAGAGCCAGAATCTCAAGAGGCACAAAGAGACGATTTCTCATTTGTCTGGGATCAAACCACTCAACTCTACTTCCATGCCAGGTAGCTTTATCAATTCTTGATGTTTCGCTCAATCTAATATGCATAATTAATTTTATCGGGGAATTCTCCTGTTTTTGGTTTTGTTGCTAACAACGTTTCTCTGTTATAATAGCTTTTTGTTTCCTTTTGTCTTAAATTGATGCAGTAGTGGATTTTACCATGACCCAAGTGCTGGCTGGTTCTATAGTAGCAGAGATGGTCTATATTACAAGTTTGAGAATGGAAGTTATGTGCTTTTAGAATCTGATAAACAAGGTATTTTTTTTTTTTTGTTTATTTGTTGGCTCAGTTGGATTCTGTTTTCTTGATGTTTATTTCTCTTGAAGTTTTGGCTACCATATTTTGCTTTCAGGTTAATAATGCACGAGAAAGGGAAACTTTTGATGATAATCCTGTTCTAGATGAGTCATGTACGCATGCTGAGTGCAATGTTTATGAGAATCCCTATTCATTTCCGCGGGCAAATGATTCTGATACTTGCCAACGCAGTGGAGTTGTTATTGATGAAAGCACTCCAGGTGAGCCACTTGGGATTATGCTGTTTTTATTGAAAAAATGGGTGATTGACAAGATTGCTTCTTAGCTCTTACTCAGTATTGCTAGATCACAGGATTATTAAATGCTTGTTGCATCCTACATATACGCATTAGCTTGCAGCTGGCTTTGTTTGATGAATTAGATGATTAATGGGAGAAAGAGTGTGCTAATTTGTAAATAGGCGCTAAACTTGTTGGATTTATGACATAAAAGTGGCACATGTACCATGTCATGTTCCCCACATTAGATGTTTGTAGATAATTTTTCTGTTCTATCTGATGAGACATTGAACGTCTCTTTATAAAACTTGGGCGAGGTAGTTGATGAGTTTGGTTCAACATTCTTCCCAATTTTCAGAAACAGTCCATGGGCAAAAGTTTTCTTCAGTGCAGTCTGCAGTGACATTTTATTTTTCATTTTTTCTCAATTCACTAGTTGTCTTATCAACAGGATACACAGAGTGCGGCAGCGTTCAAGAACCTGAAGGTCCACCCCCACCGTCAGAGTGGTATGCTAATTCTGGTGTACAAGCTCTCATGTTATGTATCAGAATTTCAATATATCATGCATCTTCTAACAATGTTGCCTACATGATCTAGGCTAGAAGAGACACTTATCAACCTTTACTTGCCTGGTTCTAACCGAGCAATCGATGCTTCTAATGATCCAGTGATAGCTTTTGAAATGGATGGTGAGAACAGCTTCTTTCGTTGTCCATCACAGATTATTATTTTTTTGTAAAAAAAAAAAAAAAAAAAAAAAAAAAAAAAAAAACACGGTAGATTTTGCTCATCAGTTTTCCATGCGTTGGCAATAATAAAAAAATGTCATACATTGATGATGTCTTGTCAATAATGATAATAGCAAGCTAGGAGAAGGTGACCCAATCACAGAAGGTCACTGTGGCCTAGCTGATCCCAGTGAGAGTATCATAGATGAAATCATTGCCTGTTAGTTTAGTGTTCTGTTGTTTGTTTGTTTCTTTCTTTCTTTTTGCTTCTTCATGGATTCAATACAAAAATTGTTAATAGATACATTTAGCAAGTACTATTAGGATACCAGCACGAACCACATAATTTGCCCTTCTCAAAAGCAATACATGGAAGGGCGAATTATAGAGATCCTCAGAGTCCAATTTTCGAATTATTGAAATGGTGGTCCGGCAATTGCGGACTTTGGTTTATGCAGGCCCAATTTTCCAATTTGATCTTATGCCATTTTTTTTTTCCTATAGCAGATGCCTTGAGGGATGAAGAAAACTGGCAAGCTCAGTATGGTCAAGTAGTTCATTCCAGGGAAGAGCCAGTCCCAGATTTTCATGTTGTGGATTTATGGGACTGGGAAATGGTCAAGGGTTCCCGAAAAGTTGGAAAAGGTCAGGAGGCTAGGCTGGTTGGGAGGTTGGTGAAGCGATCTGCGAAGCTTCATCCTTCTATGCCTTCTAGCTGTGGTCTCTTTAGATCTGCTCCAATATGTGAAGTACATCTTGACCTGGTACGAGCTAGAACAGGTTTGGATTTTGCCTCTTTTAGTAGATAACATGACAGTTTTTGTGTGTTCTGTGCCAACTTTATGTTATTTCCTTTTCTAATTGTGGTTGCAGACGCAGTTGAAAACAATATTTATATCTAGAAATCGAAACACTGCATGATGAGTGTGTTTCCTATGAAAGGCTGCAAACTTATGAAATTGTTTAAATTTCCCTTCTTTCAGGGCAAGTTTATAAGTTGCATAGTCCTAGCACAAGATATTTGGCTTCCTTGCCAACTTATGATTCTTCCAACCCAACAAAGGACTGGGGGTTCCCTGAATTATCAATTACTATGAAAGATATTACCCCAATAAAATCCAGTGGAAAAGGTGAATTGAGATCAGTTGATGGAGATACTGATAGCAAGTGTATGACTGGGTTACCCAATCAACTGTCTGCATCCAAAATGGTAACTTCTGTGACCGAGAAACTAGAATTTGATATTGAATTGTTTGAAGCCAATTTTAAAAATTAAACATAACGGATAATATCTGGTAGATAAAGTCAATTTGGTATAAGGAGAATCACTATAAAAAAAATAAACATAACGGAGTGGAAGATATTTTGAAGGCCCTTTTTCATTACAAGAGGTAGATAGTAATCCCAGGTAAAGTCTTTTGTGTTCCCAATTTAACCCAGAATATATGCAATGCTACTCTGAGCAGTCCTTTAGAGAGTTAATTGCATGTAATAGCTATTGACATTTAGCAGATTATGATTGTGGGTGACGCCATAGCACCTGTAGACTTAATTACAGCAAATAGTGCTATCAGTTAACAAATAACACTTAACAGCTGATAGATTAACCTCTTAGACGTTCCATGCATTTCTTTCCAAATAAGGCATTTCATATGCTTGAGTTTCCAGATGATTGTTAGGTTATTTTATACACCATTGCCCAGTTTAATTCATATCCTGGATAGAAGTTATTGATCAAGTTTTCTATCACATTGGTCATATTTACCCTAGGTAGTTCACTTAGAATGCTAGAATCTTTAGTTATTACATGTAACCTACTGACTTGTATGGTTATAGAGACGTTGCCAGGTCTAATATTTTGTTATTCTCAAACTATATATCACCAAATTTTGTCTGCCTTGCATTAGCTCCAACAACTCTGATCTTTAATCTGTCATTGAAAGTATTGTGCTTTAGTGCAAGATTGTTACTGAAAGTTGATCAAACCTGACAGCCATCATTTGGTAAATTTTGGTATTCGGTCTCTTAACCTGTACCTAGAATTGTTGAAATCTTGCCAACATATAATTTTCCAGATTTTCTTGTTGGATTATGCAGCAGTTTGTGAAATTGGAATTTTGGTTTAACGACAAAATTGACACTGTACCCTATCCAAAAAAAAAAAAAAGAAGAAGAAAGGAAGTCAACAGATTACAGTTAATATATTGCTTCAAAGTTTCTCTAAATCATCTACAACCACTTTCTTTCTTTGTGTCATAGATTAGGTGGCTCTATCATGCTTCTTACTTCTTTAACTTGTGATGTGTCTTTTGCTGCTTTCTCAGCAAGCAAGCCACTCGTACAGGGATAGAGCTGCCGAGAGAAGAAACTTGCATGGTGGTTTTGGTGTGGGCCCTGGACAAAAGAGTTCTTTAGTTGATGATGTTGGTGGCTCATCATCTCCAGTTTCAACTTCTACAGAGGAAGCTGCAGCTGAAGCCTTGAGCATGTCATTTGGAGCTGGTAGTTATGCCAGGAAAATCCTTGAAAACATGGGCTGGAAGGAGGTATGTTATCTCCCCCAAACATTGGATGACTTAGCCGCAATTTATGGATAGGCTATCTTTGCAACAAAAGATTTAATTGTGCAGAATAATGCCACCCTTAAGCTAAATGGCTAAGATTCAACATGGAGTCGTTATATAATTTTCCTAAGCCACCACTCGCTCATAAATTGTGCAGGGGGAGGCTCTAGGCAACACTACAAAGGGCTTGGTTGAGCCAGTAAAAGCAGTTGGAAACATGGGTAACGCTGGATTGGGGTGGCCTCAGGGCAGAATGAACCTCAACTGATACATGGGATACAAACTTCGAGTTTTTAGTTATGAATTTAGGTTTCTTTTAACCACTGGATGGAGTATAGTCTCCTCTTACGTATTGATGTATTATGTTTAAGAATAATTGCGTTGCGTTATAAGTACACTTAATTTTTAATGTTTTTCAATCAAACACGTGAATTTTATTTTTTATTTTTTTCATTTGAATACATAATTTTTTTCAAAACCATTAATCAAATATTTCCATCAAACTTTTGTCAATTGCTCTATTATACGATAATAACATGTCATTCCTCCCAAACTATTCTCTTTTCTATACTAATAAATTATAATTTTGCATTTTTATTTTTGGAGTAAAAGTTTTCTTTAAGCATGAAACGACAAAATCATAATTTAGCAGTTTAGAGGAGAAAAAAAACATGTCAGGTAATAGATCAATTGACACAAGTTTAATAGAAAATATTGATTGATTGTCTAAGAATGAACCCTTTACTAAAAATTACTTTTAATCATGTAATTAAATAGAACTTGATTGCAAGAATTTTTTCATTATGAGAACTAAAATGTATTTTTCATGAAAATATAAGTACTAAAAATCCTTCTAATGAAGGATATATTTGAAAATAGAAACAAAATACAGTAACTGAAATAACCTTTTCTAAGTAGAATATATATACATAGTGCTCATTATCATTTGTAAAGTGACAAGTCATTACAATTGTAATTGTTCATTGCATTACAGTTTTGAAAAATACAAAACAAACACAGGATTGGAATGAATCATTACAACGCAATCCATTACATTAAAGAAAAATGTAGTATATTGTTCTTCTCCCATCAAGCAATCAATTTCCAAAACTACATATCATGTAATTGTCTTATTTGAAGTTTCCTTTCTTTATATTTAAGTTCATGATATCATAAAATCATGAAAATCAATCAGAATTTTTAATGAAAATGTTTTTCATTAAAATAATAAGACGATAAAATATTATGTTTTCAAATGTATATATATCAAAGCTTTACCAACAATGTCAAATTTGATGCAGAAATTTAGATTTAACATTTGCTTCATGTTTTTGGTTAGAATTAAAAGTTTTTAATTTATAGTTACCCTAAAACTTCAATTTAAGAGAAATTATTAAAAAAATATATTAATTAAGTCACTCCATACATTGACAGACTTCAGAATACTGCCACCCTATCGTCAAGATACTTTCATGTTTCAAAACATCATTTCGTAAATTAGGGCTACTAACACCACCGCCAAATGTCGTTATAGATTGCCCGAATTACAGCCTCTTTAATTTACCCAACGACACTCGCTGCATCACCATTGGACTTTCTTAAATTCAACCCCATAAAGAGCATTCCAGAAAGTAGAAAGTTCGGTCGCTGTGATGTTGGTCTAAAGTATGACAAGCCGAATAGTTTCAACCTGCTTTCCGAAATCTAGTTTCCAATCTACACAGCATTCTACACATCAGGGGCTAAACAACTCATCAGTCCAAATAGCCCCACCAGAGTTCACCTAGCGGTCCTGGGCCTCCTGATAACTTTTCAAAAAAATGCACGGGCAAAATTGGGGATCTAGGAACTTGAGTTCCTCGGAGACGAAAAAAATAATTAAAAAATTATAATGTACAACGTACAAACATGGAGGAAGAAATATGATATATTCTACAAACTGTCCGTCGATTCTAGTTGACCTCAGCCTCCTTTTTGAATAAAGTATCATTTATTGCATCAGTGCTATCTGTTTTATTAGCACATGTGTCAGTTTTTTCCTCCACCAGTGTCTTCTGCTGTAGTTGAAAATTCAGCTTTTTAAGCTCTTGATCCTTCTCCTCTAGCTTTTCCTGCAACAGAAGTACCTGCAATAAAATAGATGAATTTAAGCCCCTTTTAAATTTAATATTATCCGCAAAAGGAATAAAAAAAAGTCAATTCTAATATACAGACTTGTACTGTTATTCTACATTTCATTCCACGTGAGAAACTCATCGCAGTTCGTTTTGCATCATAGCAGAACCTAAAGTATTACATAGCTCTGATTTAAAAAATATTTCAACCAACCCAGCATGCATATTAGCCACTGAAAACTAAAACGAGAGCCAACATCTAATTTGAGAAGATTAATGTCAAAGATAAAGTCAATAATGTGAGATATCTCAACCACAACAACTGTTTCTTCTCCCAACAAACTAGTCTATTTACATGATTTGCCAACAAGACTGAAGATGAAACAATCGGAGTATCTCCCAACAAGAGGATGTTATCCAGTTTTTGTCATTTGTCTTCAGCTTCAGACTAAATTCATATGGAATCTCATTTCAAAAGGTAAATCGTCACAACAAATCATTTCTAATGTGAATGCAGGCAAAATTTGCATTGCCTTCAAAATATCCAAATTATATGCAAGTTGCTTGTGTCAAACATTTATTGGATAGAAGGACGATCTATATTCTCATATTGTCATAGTAGTTTGTTTGTAACTGGTCAAAACCATTGATTTCTTGTTATGTACATCAACAATTAAAGTATTCAAAAGAATCTAGACATTCCTAATTTAATATAAATAATGATTTTCATCATTAAAGAGTTGAAATTAGAATCTGTATATTTACTTTAAACAAGCATTGACGGAAACAATTGAAATTCAATTCAATATATTGTAGTAAAAACATTATCAAAAGAATACATAATACATACATGCAGGATTTGCCTAAAAAGGAGATACTCGAATCGATGTATTGCAAACACTTTTGGTGATTAAATTATTAAGTCCTTAAACAACAGGTCTGTGCTGTAACTTCAAGTAATAAAAGAAAAAGGCAGAGATAATAACCGTTTCATTTGATTTCTCTACATCATCTGTCAGGCCCTCCATGTGTTTGTACAGTCCTGTTTGAGCAGCACAAGAATATCAAAATGGTTAGAATCAATGATATAAATACAAAGTATAAACATTTGTTACTCTAATGTAAAAGGAAAACGACATCAAAGTCAAACAGCTAGTGTAATTTTTACAGTCTTCGTAGTTACCTTCCATCAACCAAAAAGCATGAAAAAGCTACAATGCATTGAAGTGATTAATTTCAACAAGCAGGTTATGAAACCATACATCTAATGCACTTTCTATAATGATTATAGAATGGAAGTAAAATAATACCATAGCAATAGAGCTAAAGTATAAAAAGGGTAAATCACTGTCCAGGCATAAAAAATGTACAATAGAATGAAGTGTTAAAATTTCCTAGCTCCCCTAATAAAACTACCAATTCATGTGGGAGAAACAAAACCCTCTGTTCCAAAGGTTGCTAGCCAACATTCAAATGTCCTTCTAGTAGGATAAGGTTTTCAAAAAAGTCCACATTGGACATCGGATAAACAGCTGAAATGGCAAAGGAGTTACAAAAGTTCCTCTAAATGGCATAAGGAGTTCTTGGACATGTGCCCTCGCACCTTAGAAGTAATAGTTGGAAGTTCTTACTTCCATGATCATAGGGATTTCAAATTTTGTTGATTGCTTTTGCAATGTCACAAAATGGGCCTCAATTAAATAAAAACTTGATATCAAAAACTCTTGGAGATTTTTTTTTATCTACAACCCTTATCCATTAAAAGAAGGGCCGGTTGATAGTTGGAACTGATTCCCTTGCTGCTAAGTAAGGGATGAACATATGCCATCAAACATTAAAAAAAAAAAAAAATGCTGTGAAAGGTTCAGGAGCCTGATTTGCTCATGCTTCTTTGCCTAAAAAACATTATATACTGATATTTTTCATATCCCTTTTTTAGATATTATGATATGGCTACAACTTCTCCACTTTTAGGTAGTTCGATAAGAAAAACAAAAACAGTTCCAATTAAAATCCCAACTTTTTAATGGATAATTTGCAGCCAAAAAATCTCCAACGTTTTGAATATAATTTTAATTTAACTAGAGATGACTTTAGGCATTGTAGAAATTTGTAGTAGAAAACCATCAACTAAATTTTGAAATCCCTATAATCATGGAAGTACCCCAACTGTTACTTCTACAGGCAAACATGGGGAAAGTCAACAAGAAAAACACGAAATATGATGATTAAGTTGACAAATAGGTGACAACTCCATTAATTATAACAGTCATGAATAATACGAAAAAGGCATCAGAAAGGGCAATGGGAACAATATAGTTGGCAAATTTATCCAAGGTGACAGAGAACCCTTGACTCAACGGAAACTACAATTAAATGGCACATAAATTACTTATTCAACTGAACAAATGAAATGGTGTATAAATCAGTCTCATAAAAAAGCCAAACACTTAACATCAGAGTGCAATTTCCCCTAAAAAAAAAAAGTGAAGCATGAGCAAGACATGGTCTGAGCAATCATTACAACCTAAGAGTGCATACAATGAAAGACATCAGAAACCACAACCAGCAGATTTTACTTGCATTAAAATATAACAAACCTTCAAATTGACTTCTGAGTTCTGCATTCTGAGATTTCTGCAGAGCAAGTTTCATTGCTAATTCATGCATCTGCAACCAACAACCATTATCAGAATAAACCTTTAGCAAAATCTAGAAAGTAACAAATAAACAAGTTCTGCGAGCATAGGTCCGGTACTTTTTTACTTATCATGCATAGACAGTATCAAAACTCTTTTCCAAGTACATCCAAATATCATGTCAAGATATTTTATTTCGTAAGTCACATGTGAAGAACAGGATCAGCTTATTAGTCATATTCAACAGCTACCAGGTTTCTCAACTATTTCATGGTGTTCCAAAACAATTCAAACATTCAGATGGACATTGCTCCAGCTTTTCATCATCCCCCCCCCCCTCTCTCTCTCCCAACACAAAAAAAAAAAAAAAAAAAAAACAAAATCCCTTCCATATCTATCATTTTCTAGCAGGAAAATCATAACCAACAAACATGGAGTACTTCCATTCCAAAAAGAATTCACCACCAAACTGTATCCAAGTAGAGGGGGCAACAAAGCAAGCAAACTAAACAAAAAACAAGAGTAGTACCTTTCCCTCCGCAGCTTGATTTCCAATCTCCTCATTTTCCTCTTGCAGTGTCCTACACTTTGCCATCAGCATCTTCCCCATCTTGCTTTGTGGAGTAAAATTCACAGCAGCAATATTATCCTGCAATTCCTTCACCTTTTTGTCCTTCTCCTCAATCAAATTCTGTTACAGCATTTAAGGAAACCATAATAAACCCGTCATCAAACAAGGAGCTCAAGCAAACATTTAAAATCATATATGAAGTTGCACAAACAACAAACTTATAGTCTCCAGTCTTAAGTCTTAATGCAAGGTATTCCCAACGTGCAGAAGCCCTGATCACCTAGCCACAAATTAAACTTAAGAGAGACCTCAATGAAAAGATTTCTAGTATTTAATGTGTTTTTTCATCTTTGTGGACCCATGGTACGTGATCGGTCCTATTTTTAACAAAGACAATAGAGTGGATAACTCTGTTAATCAACATAGCTCATAATAATACAATTCAACCAGATTATAAGGCACCATTACATGAATGTAACCCATCAACTTAAGCTAAATTTCACAATCACTGAAATATTTAAGCACAAACCTTCAAACGCGTAAATTCCTCGTGAATTGCTGGATCCAGTAGTAACCTCCTTGCCTACCAGGTTAATACCCAAAGAGAGAGGGGGAGAGAGGGGGGGGGGGAGGGGGATGGGGAGAAGCAACAAGAAACAATCGTCAGAAAGAATGGGAAACAATCACATACTCTACAGCCAGATCATGTAAATTCTATGTCATAGAAATTTCCTAAAATCAGGTGAGAGCATAAGTATGCAGCTTCACCTCAAAACTCTAGGAAAACAGTAGCAATAATTCATCTGGAACTCGAAAAGAAGTGCATTTAATGCATAGAAGAACAGAATGTTAATAGAAACAATGAGACCTTTATAAATTTTAATGAATTCAGCATATAAGTATGACAAAGGAAGCGAAGGACAACAGCAAACATCAGATCCTTGTCTGAAACTACCCTGACGTATAGAATTTCCTTCATGCTAAATCAATATCTAATTTTATAACCACATAAACCAGGCATGCCAAGATGGCATATATCCCTCAAGACGTAATTTAAGCATTTGTTTATACCTGCATCGATGGTGGCCTGAGTTGCGCTTTCAAATCCCGGACCGCCGACTGCAAATTTAAAAGTGAACTAGATTTAGACAATTATATGACACCTATGAACGCGGTCAATCAGGCAGCACGAAAACTCCATCAAGTAAGGCTCAGGATACACATACAACAGTATAAGATGGCGACGAAGACCTGGCAGGTCCCTACAGTCAACTACAAAAGCCATATTGAGTGGTTATTGCATTCTCCTCCCAAAGCGACAATTCTAAATTTCATTTCCTGTGCTTTTATATACATGCTCAGGTAAACCATATGAAGCCATTTCACATTTGATTTGACCATGATTTTTGGTTTCCAGATAAATACACTATCATGCTCTTTTCATTTAAGCCAATCTGAGCATATGTCTTCCTAATAACATCAGTCCTCCAGTATGTCTAATAGATATTGCATCCTAGGCAATTGCAGTGATTATGTGATGCAGCATTCATGAAAAAAAATGAAAAAAAGTGAAATACTCTGCCGATCCTCTCCTGCCAACTGTGTGTGTGTGTGAGAGAGAGAGAGAGAGTGAGAGAGAGAGAGAGAGAGAAGGACTCACCTTCAGCTCCGCTATCTCCTGCTCCCGTTTGGCAAAAGTTACAATGAAGGCAGCTTCCTTCTTCTTTGCCTTTTCTAACTGTTAATAAAAAGAAAGCATGGTGAAATCCTGCACGCATGATAATCTCTTATGAAGCTAGAGGAACCAACAGTCTGATACAATCATTCAACCTGCTCTCTCAATAACTCATCAGAAGATTTCAGGGTCTGAAGATAGTTGATCACTAGTTTAGGTTCTACAAAGAGCAATAGAGCAATTTTTGAGAAACAGGACAGCTTGTGGGATGATCATAAACAGAACCAGTTCTAGCATCACAAGTCACATTAAAACACAAAATGGGAAACACTATAATAACAGGCTAACCAAGAGATGCCCCAGCAGGTATGAAAGACTCGTTCTCAAATGCAGAGCGCCACCTCTGAATTTCAGATTTTGCGGTTTGAAGCTCAGTCTGAAACCAGCATTATTACAACTCAATAAGTGGATCCGATGAAAAAAATCAAACTGTATACAGAATGCTATAATATTCAAAATTCACATGCAAATTTAGAACCCCTGCAAAACCTAACATAATCACAGTTCAAGCAGCCTCATTCTATATAGTATATATAGGAACAAATAGTCTTGTTTATTCAAAACACCAGATATGCAAGAGGAGCCCATCACTAAACACTTTTAACACAGTGCAGGAAGAATAAATTTAAAAATTTCTATCAATTAGTTTGCAATTCTTTAGTAAAGGCTTCATGTTTAGAAATTCTTTAATTGTATTCTTTAAATTTACTTCAGCGGAAGCACTGTGACCATAGCAAAGCTATAAAAAAATATTTTATCCCAAAAAAGGTGAAAAGAAAGACTTTTATCCTGAAATTCTAGGCCTGTGCTCCAACCAAATAACTAATTTACATAATTCGGAATGTTAGACATCACTAATGAGCTTTATGAAGAAATAAATTATGTTCAATTTATATTTCTATTTCCAATTTAATTAAGAACTATGAGGATCCAAGATATCCATGAAAGAACCACCTATTCTGTGTTTTAGATATGCCTTTGATAACAAAATCCTGTTGAAAATTCTGTTATCAGCTTAGAAACCAAGTTTTCCTTTTCTCTGTCTTATCCTATTCCTTCGCAATCTTCCTGTTCTTCATGTTCATGTTTTCCTATAGACAGCTATCCTACATAACATTCTTCAGCAATGAAAATGTCTCCTCCTCGCATGTATAGTTCATAGGCAAAACAGTAAACTATAAAACAGTTTCACAGATCAAATTTTAATTCCAAAAAAAGACGTTATGAGCTATACATACTTGGCATGTCGCAAGGGAACCTTTACAAGTTTCAAGACTGCAGAAGAAAACCCAAAGAGAAAATAAGACTGTAAAGTGATATAACCGAGCAATAAACAATGTCCTTCTCCTTTTAAATAAGTTACTCTTGATCTTAAAGTACCTCTCACGAAGAGACAAAATCATTGCTGTTTCTTCTACCTTGGAATTACCCTGTAATGACAACAAACAAGATTTTCATTCCCTTCAGCAACTCCTAAACATTTTTTATAATTTATAATTCATAGGAAAAAGAAAACCTTTTTGGAGCAAAAAATGTCGTCTTCATCATCCTCGAGATCTCCAAAGCTTCTCTTATTACCTAATTAATTATATATAAAAAAACAAATAGGAGTCACAAAATTAAGAATTGCTGTTTTTTTACTGTTATGACGATAATAATAATAATAAAAGGAGGAGTTGAGTAAGTGAAAACCAGAACTTCTGTTATTGTGGCTCCCGGGAAAATCACCGCCAAAATCATCATCCTGAAATTTGGAACGGAATCGAATTATCAAACAAGCCAGCAAAGATACTTTGAAATATTGAAGTTATGTGTCAGGTTGGAACGAAAGCGAACTTACATCGACGTCGAGATTGTTGTGAGATGCCATTGAAGAAAAACCCTAACCTGATTTCCTTTTTTAATTTGGGAGGGAGTAGCGACTCAAAACAGGAATAAATTTAAATTAGTTCTTCTTTTCGAGAAAAGAATCAGTTAGTCCTTTTTGTTTAACAAATTAATAATTTAATCCTCGTATTTTGAAATCTACCTGTAATTTAATTTTTTCTCCTTTTTAATTTATTTTGATTTTTTATTTTAAAAAATAGAATAAGAAAAAATATTAAAAGAATAAGAAAATAAGAAATATTGTGAAATAAAAAAAATTAATTAAACTGATTGAAAAATTAGATAATAATTTTTTAAATGAAAGAGACAAATGAATTTGTTTCTTTAAACTAAAAGGAATAATTTATAATTTAGTCCTCAAAACAGTGGGAGTGTTTCGAACAAAGTAGCGTCGGTTTTCGTAATTTCTCTATTTGATACCTGACAAATCAAAGAGGGCGTTGATTGATAAATTGAGAAACTTTAAGGGGTTAAAATTAAACAAAGTTCTAGGTGTAATTAAGATAGATACTCCCTTGTCCAATAAAATTTTATAATACATGAGGAGTAACTAGTGACATGTACGATAGTTACTCATTATATCCACTTTGAGGAGACAGATAGACACATAAAAAAGAGAGAAATTACATACATACTCACTAAAAGTGATAAAAAAATTTATACGTCCGTTAAAATTTTTTTATTTTCTCTCTCCTATTTTTCTCTCTGTCTCTTTGTGTGTCAATCTCTCTCCTCAAAGTAGGCCCAAGGAGTAACTACTGTACATACCACTAGTTACTCCTTATGTATTATAAAATTTCTCATCTTGTCCATATAGATAAATTTAAACTTTTTTTTTCCTAATATATATGCTGGAAAGACCATAAATAGGAAAGTTATAAAAAAAAAAATCACAATGATTTAATTAATCACTTATATGGCCATAAAACTTTCCTTACTTACCACGTCAACAATAAGATTTTGATATTCATTTGTGTTTTTATAAATTTATTATTTTTACTGTTATTATTAGTTGAGAGATTATGTATTGAGATATATATATATATATATATATATAGATCAAGTGTAGTTGTTTTTTCTTCACTAGTAATATAAAAATTGTGTTTCGTTAAGATTTATTTTGCTTTTAAACAAATTACATGACATCTTAGAGGTAAAAAAATCATCTTACTTTTAAATCAAAGCAAAACACTAACCGCTTTTAACTAAAAACATACCAATTATTACAAGATTTATTATTTTTTTAAACATAAAACAGTCTTTATCTATTTTATTTTGTTTTAAAAATACAATATAATGCATCATAATAGTTAAATTACAACATAACATGACACACTAATACCATGCATATCAAAATCAATTTACTTTCTTCTACTTCAAAGAAGCCATCTCAATGAAATGGAAAAATGTCCATAAAATACGAATAACCTATTCACTCTTAATTGGTTTACTCACCAGAGAGAGAGAGAGAGAGAGAGAGAGGATTATGGTCACGAATAAGCTAGTTTTATTTGCTGCTGTTGGATTGGAAACAAATTTCTTTATAAAATATGGAGTTCCAATAATAGATTAAAAATTCTAGTCATCATATAAAAATATATCAAGCTATTTTTAAAAAAAATAACATGATTAATTAATGATAAAAGAGAGATTTTAATCGTTATATAAAAACATATCTAGCTATTTCTTTTAAAAAACAACATGATTAATTAGTGATAAAAGAGAGAAGCAATTGAGAGTGTTCGGCATCATTGCATCACCGACTTTTAATTTTATTTTTTTCTATTTCAATATCTAATTTTTTATTTTATTTGAGTGTCATAATCATCTTAAAGCACGAGGGATTAATGTGTACGAGGTTAATTATCACATGATATTTTTTTATTCTTATGTGACAGCTATCATTAAACACATTAGTAAAATTGAACCTTATCTGAAATCAGATACTTAAAGAAATAAAAAATTAAAACTTGCATAGTAAATCATTCAAAATCAACGAAAAAATAAAAAATTAGACATCATACAAACTTTCTCTCAATGAATACATATTGTATAAGCTAGCATCTTTTCCTTAACAGTTAGCATGTGAACCAAACCCTTAAAGAACCGTTATTTCGAATGAAAATAATTAATTGTTTGTTTTAGCATTTAGATACAAAAGAAGAAAGCACATAAAATGAATTAGATGTAATCAAGAAGACATGAACGAGTGCAGTGTCGGTACAAGCTTTCATACCAGCTAATGTTAGCGTCCAAGATGCTGAAAACACGTCTCCCGCAAAGCCTGCGATCTCTTTTTTATCTGCCGGCTATAATTTGTTAAATTTCATCTCTAACGCAAAATCCTAATTACCACTTTACCAGTGAAAATTCCTTCAGAACGTTGGATCAAATGAGACAATGTGTTGGTAGTTGGACGAAAAGTCACTAGTTGAACAGGTCACTAAAGACAGAGAGGGGCATTGAAGAATTAATTAATAGTATTAGATTTTTTATTTTAGCTAAGACGGTATAAAAACATCAAGTTTGAATTTTGTTAGTAACTTCTTCTTCTTGAAAAATTAATATATCAACGAGTAAAATATTCCAACATTATACACAATTGGAATTGGTTCACATAATTGTGTGAAAATAATATTTTATATTTATAATTTGATTGATAATACTACTAGATTACTAGTAATAATTAGTGCATTGTTTTTTTTGTTAACATAAAGATAATATTTAAATCATAAGATATAGTTCATTCATAAATAAGTATTGATTTGTAAATCAGATTTAGAATTTGATTATTGTGATTAGCATTTTTAAAAATTTATTTTTAAAATACTCAAAATCATATATTAGATAATATTTCTTAATAATATTTATGAAAAAATTAGTTTTAAATTACATAAAAACCGATCCAATTGCACTTTACTTCACTGATGAAAAAAGAAGAAGCAATATTCAAATTACTGTTAGTCGATAATTACCAGTGGCATTTGTGTCAAACCAACTGATTGTCCTCTAAAGTCTTAAACTGGCTACCATTAAAATCCGGACGGCTACCATTTCCTCCCATTTGTACCCGCGGCTCAAGCAAAAAAAAAAAAAAAAAAAAACCAATCCTTCTTTCATTCCTTCCTTTAATCTCTTGAAGCAAGTATTATTCTGAGAGAGAGAAAGATGGGTTGGCTGAGTCGGTTCCTAGTAGCTGTAACATTCTTTGCCGTAGGAGTGCTCTTTTCTCCAGAAACTTTCGGATCACAATCGGTCAGTCATCTCTCCGTTTACTTGAAGTTGGCTCACATCCTCTGCTTCTCCACTGCTTTTGGTGCTGCTCTCTGGGTCACTTTCATTGGCGGCATCATCATGTTCAAGTATTAATTTTAACCCTTTCTAATTATTTCATCATTCCTTTTTTCTTACTACTTTAATTATATCTAATATGTAATGATTTTTATAACTGAAATTCTTAGTGGTAATGAAAAAAATACCGAGGATGATTGTTAACCGACGGGAAATTTGTGTTGAAATTAACTAGGAATTTGCCAAGGCATCAGTTTGGTAATTTGCAAAGCAAGATGTTTCCTGCGTATTTCTCATTGGTGGGCGTTTGCTGCGCTGTCTCTGTGGCAGCGTTTGGTTATTTGCATCCATGGAAATCAGCATCCACTGCAGAGAAGTACCAGCTTGGGTTTTTGCTTTCTTCCTTTGCTTTCAATCTCACCAATTTGTTTGTCTTCACTCCAATGACCATTGAGGTACAATTACATTTTGTTCATCAATACTGTATATGCAGTTTCAACTTTCAAAGTGTATTAAAATGACCCAATTTTCTCTTTCATTTTAGAAAGTTGAATTTTTCATGCCATGTAACTATAGGTATGTTTTGCATGACTTTTGACTTTGAGTCATAATTCGAAAGTTGTTTTTCATTAAAAAACTTATGATGAGTTAAAATGTTTGGTAAAAATGACCCAAATCAACTTTTTAGAAGAATTAACGTAGTATAAGTTGAAATTCATAACTCAAAAGTTAAAAATTTTAACTTTTGATTAAAGCAAAATTTTAACTCAATTTTGTAGGAAACTTTTGATTTAAGTCAAATGTTATTTCTAGTTGAACATACTTATGATTTTTTTTTTTTTTTTTGAGTCAAAAGTTGAAAAACAACTTACATCAATTTGCAAAAGTCATACCAAACATAACCTATATCTTAATTCGTTGTGGAGGAAACCGAGGGAAAAGATAGACTATGAGTGGTTTCATGTTCAATTTTCAATGTTGTTTTGCACTCTTTTTTTTTTTTAAAAAAAAAGACAGAAATAGAAAAAGCTTACTGCCTCTTGTTCAAATGGTTGAATGGTTAAATCAACTTGGTCTAATGCTTGAATTAGTTTTGATTGACTGGAGATTTTCGATAAGGTAACGAAGATTGCATCATGATTTAAATTTTATTTCCTTCCTTAGATTCTCAACTACCTCTTTTTTGTTTTTTACCCGAGAAACATTACCAACTACCAGACATAAAAACTTCAGTTGATGATATTCAATCCTTTCAAAATTACGTCAATTCTCCCTTTTGCACTCTGAGGCTGCCATTGACTTCTATGCCTGGATTTATTGATGCGTCGTGGATTAAATTGTGATTATTTTCTTTGTTTTGTTGTTTAGATGATGAAGCAAAGGCACAAGGTGGAGCGTGAAGAGAACATCGGGACTGAGGTTGGGTGGTCAAAGAACAAGGAAGTTGCGAAGATTAATCCAAAGCTTGCTGCCATGAACAAGAAATTCGGAATGATCCACGGTTTATCATCCCTTGCTAATATCATGTCATTTGGCAGTCTTGCCATGCACTCATGGTACTTAGCAGGTAAGATGGATCTGTAATTCATGCTATACTTATAAATTGGTTGGACACGGGCACTTCTGCTATACCATAAGTATTTTCTAATTGTTTCCCTGCCAACTTATGTACTCTGAATGTGTCAAGATTAAGAAGTTCATTGTGATCACATACTTGGCAATAAATCGTATGCACCTGTTATCATTTCTCAACTACCGGTGCACATAAAATTTCATTGATATATCTAATGTTTTGTCTAGCATCTGAAAACTGTGCTCTAATTTATGTGCATATTTTATGTTCAAATTGAATTGATCCCATCACTTCTGTGCTACGAGCATCTGCGATCAGTGTATCCTGGGAATGTGGCTGTTTTTTTGGCAATGTTTTCATCACCCAAATTTCTTTTAGCTTTGTAGGTGTATGACTCTTGCAGATCTTGGGAATGATATTAACGCTCTTCCTTCCTCTTCATGCTTATAGCACAGCATCCAGACTCTTTTCATAACAATTCTCAATCTGCTTATTCAATTTCCACTAGACTGTCCAAAGTCCAAACTCCAGATCACTGTTTCTGCACAGTATGTCAATATGCATAGAGTTGGTTTCCACAATTAGGAATAGACTGTTTCAAATTCTATGAACGGCCAAATGTACATAACTGTGTCTTGTCCAAATTTCTCTTTATGTTATGCTGTTCTTTCATTTCAACAGGATGACATCACATTCTGTCACTTTATGCCAGAACTGAGTTTGTGAGATCTGGGCACCCTTTGAGGATTAGAAATGAAATCTGAGATCATCAACCATTGAATTCTGTTTGAATTTTGAATCCCTTTTATAACTGGCTCATCGATTTTTTTTTCTTTGAATGAATGAGATATTTCATTTCCAAAGCAAGCCAAGCAGGATAGCCAGTTCCAACTACAGAAATTAGGAATGCACAAAAGGATACGAGTTCATACGAGAAGATTTTGGAATTTGGAACAAAAAACCTAGGAACATAATACAGTCAATAGGAATACCAACATGCTTATTTCCTGCAGACTTCTTTGCCCATGTGAACTCTTTGCCCTTACTTCCGCTCTTTGTTAGGCTTCCGACAACAAATTACTTTGTTTGCTGGACAACTGAAAAGTAGGTGATCTGTTAATTGATCTGACTGACTACAATAAAGACAACCTGCACTAATCCACCTTCCTATTTTATTAGCTTGTCCTTTGTAGAAACCTTCCAGAAATTTAGTCTGGGTGGTTCGATATCTTTCAGTTTGGAGTGCATTCTTTCCGTCTCTCCAAAGCTCTCCAACTATATTTGAATGGTTAGGATCAATTCAATACAAAATTTACAATCGATTCTCTAGAACTCTCATATCTAGGTATTTATAGTGAGCATTCTAGATATGTTCGAACAACATTCTAGATATGTCCTCTCTAGAATCATCTAGGACGTCTCTAGAATTATCAAAGATATGTCCAAATCTCTGTTGAACAGTCTAGAGGCTTCACTCTATAGAATCATCTAGGAAGTCTCTAGAATTATCAAAGATATGTCCAAATCTCTCTTGAACAGTTTAGAGGCTTTTCTAATGCTCTAGAGACTTCCAGAGGTTTTTAGATTTGTCTAGCTTTCTCAACAAATCTCAAGATCCTTCCAGAAAGTTCTTTTAACCTTTAGAATTTTGTCCCTTTCTTGTGGGGGTAACACTCTCCTTCACTTAATTTGGCAGACGCCTTTGTCTCGCCTTCATGATATTCTTCAATCTTTTGCACGAACTTCCACGAGGCTTTTGCAAGTTCCAAGTTAGCCTTCCTTTTTGGTAGTCCATTTCCTTTCACTTAGTACTCCTTTTTTGGTAGCACTCCACCATCCCAAACTGTACAATCACCAAGTATGACCTCTTTGTCCTACGAGTCAGCTATTATTGTAGGTGCTCTATACAAAACTCTTTGGCTTGGATCCTCATCATCCGCATGATATGGCTTTAACATACTCAAGTGGAATACCGAGTTGATCTTTAGTTTTGGTGGCAACTCTAGACACTAGCACACCTTTCTCACCTTGTACCTCCAACAGTCCTTCGTATCAACTTATCGGGCTCTCGTGCACCTTTCAAAAAGTGTTGTGTTGTTGTGATAGCAATTTCACCATCACTTTGTGTCTTCGTCGAAAGCTCACATTCCACCATCTTGTCCCATCCCATCACCTATTGTCAGTCTATTTCTTCATCTTCTTAGCAACATTGTTCAAGTACATGCATGTCAAGTTTCTGTCACCTCTTAGCCAATGAATGCATGGCAGGGTTGCTCTTTTGGTACTTATCACCCAGCACCATCGTATGTAGAGTATGTAATAAGCGGTTGTTAGTGGTCGCTATCTCGAACGGACTCTTATAAATAAATTCACTCTACAAGTTGCAAAAGAATTCTGCAACGTCGAATAACTTAGCCCAATCAAATATATTTCTAACAATGCATTAACCCGCTTGGTCTTATCCTTGGGGCCATGGCCCTGCTTACGTCCCTGGACGCATCCCAGTGGGATGGATGGGCTTGAGCAAATCTAATCCGGTGCATTGTTGGACGTGCCTTCCTTGAATCATCAATGAAGTTGACCAGTTAATTAAGAAACCATAACACCATACTTGTATCCTTGAACTAAATTTATTTTGCTTTTCTTTTGCATAAACCAATGAGTGCATGTTTGTAGTTAATGATGATACACGGTAAATATTTTTTTGTAATTATGTTTGACGAATTTAGCAAATGGTGAAGAAATGTTACGGATTTGGGAGAAATTTAGGTTGTATATATATTTTTATTTTGATAAAAGGGTTGTGTATTCTTAAAAATATTGGAGTTGAAATAACGTTGTCATAAGAGGCCAAGTTTGGAGGCAGACCTTAATCCGTCGTAAGGCCCTAGTGGCGTGTATTTATTCATCCTCTCTTGGGTCTTCATTTTCTAAAATTAATTCCCTGCTAGAAGCCCAATAACTAGTTTCTGTGTTGACACGAATGCCCGTTGGTGTTACTGTGGTGTGGTTCATGTGTTGTGTTGAAGGATGGAAGTAACATTTGGTATTTGGTAACTTCTTCTTGTAGTGTGCTTGTAAGTGTTTAAAGCACTTAGATCATAGTGGGTTAAATTTTATTGATGGGCTTCTTAGATATAAAATTATCAATAAAGACTGTAATCTACTAAAAATGTTTTAACAAACATATTTTATTTATATTGAATGATTAATAACTTCTTATAAACTTACATGATATGTGTCTATATCTTTTATGAAAGGAATGTTTGATCTCAAAAAAACTAAAAAAAAAAGAAGAGAACTTATATATATACACACACTAGTGTTTTGCATAACTCAATTTCAAAATCCTTTTTTATCTCATTGATTTTATCAGAATGATGTAAAAACAGATTTTGAATTTGAGTTGTGTAAAATGCTAGTATATTTGACATGTGTAATTTAAATAATAATAATAATAATGAGAAAATTGTTTTTTTTTTTTAAATGTACTCCACAATAAACAGTATTGAGATTTGTTTCAAAAGCAAAATATTTTAACATTAAAGTTTAAGCATATATTAATTAGATACTAGTTTTAGATAATTAAAAAAAAGACAAGTAAAAACAGTTGTGCTTTAAAAGCACATCGATACCAGGCACAAGCAAAGATTAGTTTAAATCACATCATTACAAAATAGACGCAAAGATTAGTTGGGTTTGTTTAGCAGGCAATAATATTTTGATTTTTTTTTCCCAGAAGAATTGCCTTATTTTTGTTAAATAACTTTAAAAAAAAGCTGATGAAATTTTGCAAAAAACAATCATGAAAGATGCAATCCGTTTTAATGGAGCTGTTAAAAAGAAAATATGTTCCCTGCTAATATGGTCAGTCACGTCCTGTATATATGTGTATATATATTAAGCGAGAGTCTGTTTAGCTTATAAAATCTTTTATTCATTAAAAAAAAAAAATGGTATGAACCCAATATGATTTTGGACAAATTTGGACATATATAGGTTTTTTTTTTTTTTCCCCAATATCTTTTGAATATCATCAGTTTGACATTATCCTTCCATCACAGAAGCGTCATTTGGGTATGGAATTTAAGATAACTAGATCCTCTTGCAATTTAGAGTAATTAGTTGGTTATCCAGGTTATATTGCTGGTTAAGTAAAACATATAAAATTATTTAAAAAAATAATTTTAATTTGATAACTTGTATTATATTACAGATCTGTTAAAATATATTGAATTAAAAAAATCATTTCATTTTATAATTTATTATTCCTTATGTTTTTTATAAATTTTGTAGTTAAAAAACACAATTTGTTAATTTTTATATATTGATTTTTAAATAAGAATTTGCAGTAATCTAAATATAATATTTAATCAAAAATTAAAAAAAAGCCTTAATATTTGTTTCATTAGATTGCATAGAAAAAATAAAGCAACAATTAATATAAAAACTTACATAAAATTAACAAATGAATATTTTTTATTCTTATTTAATTTTGATGAGAAGATTATTTTTTAAAAATTATATATATATATATATTCACATAATAATCAATAATATTAGTATAAAAAATTGTATTTGAATCATTGAATAGTTCTCTTAAAACATTATTGCAATTATTTTATTTCAAATAAATTGATTTAAGAATTTTTTTAAAAAAATAATAACAAATGATTGGTGTTGTGTGTGTAAATTCATAGTTAATTTTTAATAAAATCAATTATCTTGGTTTTAGTTTATGACTTAAAATCGTCATGAACACACTCTCTTCATCAATATAAACAATACGAATACAAAATCGATCACAAAAGAGACCGAAATTAAAACAGATCGTAGCTTTCTTTGTCCTCTTTATATTTAGAGACCAAATTGTCACATAAATAAAATTGAAAGCCAAAATAATTTTTTTAAAAAACATTTGGAATCAAAGTGCAATATAAAAAAATAGATTTAAGTGTCATATTTCAACGTAAAAAATAATGAAAATATCATTATATAATGCACATGATTCTAAACGAACATTAAATAAATAGTATTATGTAAGTACGGTGAATAATATAATAAATAGTAAATAGTTTAAATCTTTTAGTGTTTTTTTCTTGTTCTTTTTTTAATTCCATATCCAAGAATCCAACACATCTACATTTGTTTCAGGAATGCTCATGTTCTATAAACAAGTTTGATGGTAATAGGCACTAGATTGGCTATCAATATATTTTTACAAGGACTTGAGGTATAAATGAAGCCCATAAATTGCGGTTCTGCCTATTTTCAGGGTCTCTTAACTCAAAATTAGAGAACGCCATGCGTGTCTTCTACACAAACTTGTAACTGTAGGATATTTCATGTTCTCCAGTATCATATCCAACCTTTTTACCCCAACCATGCCCCATAAGCACCGAATTATGGCGTGATGGTCGGTGCATCTTTTCCTTTTCTTTGCTTCTCAGTTTTCACCCATATGCTCGGCTGTAATTAATAATAGGCCTGACCAACTGTAATGTCGCCCTCAAAAGTTTTGGCATCTTTCCCTAGTGGTCCACCATCGACTTTTACATCGAGTTCTCCGTCCCGGGATCCCCACGATTCAAGCCTAATGAAAGGCCAGATAAATAAAAACATCACACAAAACACATTGGGGAAGATGACACAGGAAACGACAGCGATGGTACTCTTAACAACTTTACGCTGGTACGGCACGCATTTTGTACAAGACACAAGTTGCAAGTTCAAAATTTCACCCACTGTTCATTCATCGTCTGACTGGCTAACTGCCTAGTTGGACGGATAGATTTGAAGAACACAGACATCTTGGACTAGAGACGCTTATTTTGGCACCAATCGAACTAAACAGACCAGGACTTTTGTGTCGTGGCTTGTCGATTTTTGCACGGTCCTACTTGTGAGTTTCCATGTGCTTAACGTGGTCATCGCGTGGATGCTGTTGCAGATTCCCAATTCCAGTCCGTGAATTTGAAATTTCCCCTTGCGTTTTAACCCAGCTAAATCAAAGTTCAAAGAGCTTCTTCACTAGCTCAATGATTTGCTGAAAGTGGACAAGTTTTTCTTATAGCATCTACCGGGGTTTGCGTACTTCACAAAAGCATGACTAAATTATCGATGAATTGATTGTGACATTCTGATAGTTTAAAATGCTGATTAAGATATTATGGTAGTTAAAGAAACAACGTCCACGAAACATGAAGGAGCTGAGTAACTGAAGAAACATTGTGTTTATAACGCTTACGAAATATCTCACATCCATATCTTTGTTACGCTGATGTCTTTCGAAGCATAGACATCCTAGGAAAACAAATACCGCAAGTTACAACAATAATCCATTTAATCAGAAAACATTGACTAGACAGTCAAGCAGCAAACCGTGGTGATAAAAAGAAATACTTTGTATTACTTTTTGCCAGAGAACACATTATGAGAGTTCACGACTAAATTCAAAAGTGTGATTCTTTTGTATTGACTGCTATTCAATTGGAGTTCTTCAAGTATTTCGATAAAGGACCAAGAAAACCTGAATCTTTTTTTGTTTTTTTTCCTGTGTAGAACTAATGAATAAAGAATCGCCTAATAGTCTTACTAGCCATGTGCCTGCAGAGTGTACAATGTTCCACCAAAGAAACAGGATGTGTCTAAGACGACAAGGCTGTTCAACGAAAATTAATTGCACTGTATGCTCCTAAGAGTAACACTCGTGCAGGAAACAAGAGAACCACAAGCAAGTGCATGTGTTGGGATGCAACGAGCCTACTGAAACGTTTCAAGGACTCTCTTCCAGTCTGCAAGACTCCAGAGAAGTTAAATTGGTTTTGGCCCATGATCATAGATGCCACGGGCCTCCCTACAAGGATGCTGGCATCATTGCCATGTGGTGCCAAAATGGAGAACCAGAATCTGCGGCGATGCTGCCTCCTGGCTTTTCTGATGTGGTTTAACTCTCGGCGAATCACATTCCTGACAGATTTGAAGTAAGAAGTCATGTCATGATCCCTTTGAATGGTTCCTTCAGAACCATATGCAGAGCGGTCTCTTAAGATCTCAAGTGGATGTGGAGAGTTTAAGAACACAATCTGTGCAGAGCGGAGCTGCTTCTCTGCATCACTGGTGCCAGACAGTGGACAATTTAAAAAATATAGACCACTGCCTGATGGAAGAAGATGATGGTGAGGTGAGAATTTCTCATCTGGCTGTAGAATCAGAAGCTCCCCCATTGGAGAGTACAGTAATTTCTGCAATGAAAAGAATATGAACAATTTAGTAAAATAACCATGGATAAAACTCCCAATAAGTACATACTTACGAAAAACTTTACCTGGTTATTGAGACAGGGATGATTCCGGAAGTTTGCATTAACAGCCTTCAGAAGTTCTGCAACATGATTAGGATAATTGCAAGAGAAGGCTCGAGGCACAATGTCTCTATGCATCGTAATTGCCTGAACATGGCTGCGCGGCAAGCCAAGCTTCCGAAGAAGACGGTCACCTCCACACATGATGGAGGGGGAACCAAATGTTATAACAGGAAGTAAGGATGAGGCTGGCACTTCGCCTCTTATCAACAGCATGAGATTTAGGAGTAGTGACAAGCTTCCTCCAAGAGAATGCCCTGTGAAACGAAAGGTAGCACGCCTGCCATAAGATTTTAAATGTGCACAGACTTCAGGTAACATCTGTTCATACATTCCTTTTGCAGCCTCGTATATACCTCGATGCACAAGAACATCCAATCCCTGAACCGCAAAGGCAAATCACATCTATCAATTTGAGAGAATATTTACATAATTAACACACTCGATTGCATTAAATATCTGCAGAATAGCAATCTTTAAACATTCATCAATCTTTCTCAAGAAAATACTTATAAAGGCATTGCTGACACTTTTTTCCCCACATTCTATACCAGCTCAGAAAGGTCGAGCAACTTCTAAACAGAGTGAACTGAGGATTTGAAAACTCAAAAAAGAAAAAAAAATTACCTCGAATTGGACTGGCTCAAACAGTAAATTTGCTTGCCAAGATGCTAGTGTCTCGGATCCCTGCACATCAGAAAATATGAATCTGCCTGAGGATTGCAGAACACAAAGAACTTACCAATTATAAGCTAATAACAACAAAATTAGAAGTTTCTTTGAGCATTGTCCTAATTGGTCCAATGGGAATCATTATCTTTTGCACGCTGGTGACTAATCTTTAGATTGCAGTCTAAAATGCAAAACAGCACTTTAACGAAAATCTTAATACAGAGATCACAAACCATTCTCAAACTTAGAAAACAAGTTACTCAAGACAGTATAAATTAAAATGTGGTACCTGGATTGCCAAGAATCTTGTACCCTGATCATCATCACATATAAACCATTCGCATGGTGATGAACGTGTCGAACTTAAATCATCTGCAACAGCCTGCTTCACCTCATCCTTTGCAGCAACCACAGCTGTCACTGAATCAGTGGTTGCCATAAAAGATGCCATATCTGGGTTCATAATGTTAACGGCATCAATGGTTTTACTGCCTCCTTCATAAGAATCTTCCCCAGTCTCAGCTTTTGCAGATTTAAATGGAAGAATGCTCTTTGTATGCGAGTGCAAATAAGAAGCAGCAGAGGCAGCTATCTGATATGCAGCCGAAGCACTTATGCGATACCCAGTATTCTTCTGTTCATTGCCTTCCAGCTCATCCTTTGCAATCGTTTTTTCTGCTTCTTGATCTTCAGGTGGCACAAGATTTTTCTCAGTTCTCATGGCCATTTCCCTTTTCTCTATTGATGAAGTCACTAAACGGAGACCACGGTGTTTCAAGAGTCTTTCTGGCTGAATTTACCAAAAGAAGGAAAAAAAGTTCATTTCATCAACATGAAGATATTTAAATTGCAAGTGAAAGCAGTACATTTCTCAAATCAGCAAGGAACAGAAAATAAGTAGTCAACATGAAACTGCAGAGACAATACATTCAGAGAAAATAATGTTCAACTTGAGTTCTTTTTGCCCAGTTAAGTTTTCGGCTTCACAAGAACAACATGCAATAGCTAAAACAACAACCTCCATAAACTAAAGCATCTCAAATCGCACACAGATGTCAGCTGAGCCATCCTATGGTCTATACTCAAAATTGATTCCGATGAATTAAAATTCTACAAAGAGCCACTTGAAATGAAAGCTCAGAAACAATTTTATCTCCAAAAAGGAAGAAAAACAGCAAATTTGAATATCTAAAAAGCACAAGCAATATGATTGGAAGTATTTAACAAAAGACAGAAAGTAACCGCAGAGTAACCGAGGTTACTTTCTCTTCATATAGAAAATCCAATCACCAAAAATATAAAATTCACCATGTCTGAGTCGATCTAAGATCCAATAAATCCAACAATCAAATCCAAAACCTCATAAAAAATTAGAAATAAAAAATATTTACGCAGGATTATCATCTCCAGCAGAACAATCCGAAAACACGTCGATCAAAGCAATTGAAAATAAAGAAGGAAGTGGATGAATTCGTACCTTGATTTCAGGAATGCAATAAGCCAAGCTGCCCAAATAAGACATCTTTTCATACATTTTGGCTTCAGCTAATGAGGCCCTCCTTAACAATCTCGAAAACGAATCTCTATCAAATTCAATCTCTTCCTCTTCCTCTTCATCATCGTCATCTCCAACTCTACACACATCACACTCTTCTTCTTCCTCGTCATCATTCACCGAAGCAGCACCACCTTCTTTCTTTGCCTCTTCATTAACACCATCAAAGATCCCTTTTTCCTCATCTTTCCAGAGTGATTTCACGTGCAAAATCTTCAAAACCCAGTTCTCGTTTTTCCCTTCACTCGACACCATTGTTTCTCTCTCACCCTCCACCCCATTCTCCTCCAATACAGCATCGTCTAAAGCCATCCCATTGTACCTATTACTTTTACCTCCTCCTCCAGGCCATAGAGATTGCAAAGGGTGTCTAAGACTAAAAGAGAACCTAGACGAGGCCGACGCCGTTTTCTGAGGGGCCGTCGATTTATCCCGCCCCACCGCACTCACCTGAGAAGCGTTCGTAATTGAACGCGCTTCCCCCTTGGACCCACTCACCGTTGATATCGTTGAAGCTATCCCATGAATCCCCGCTGTTTTTAAGCAAATACTATCCATTTATTATTATTATTAATTATTAACTAACACAGTTTTATTGTTTTCGGTTCTTCTTCTTTTGCGTCTGCCTACAAATGAATTGAATTTCTACAAACAAAAAGAAGAAAGCAAAATTTGCGAAAGAGAGGGAAACGCCGAGGTGTTTGGAGAAACCACAATCTTTGAATCTCTCTCGTCGCCCTTTTGTCTTCTTATTTTCTTTTCTGTTTTTTTATGCTTCTTTCTTTTTCAAACAAAACCTTACAGAGGGCGCAGGGAATTTAAAGAGAAGCAGGCAAACAAGAAAAGTAGGCTTGGTATGCGTTTGTAGCCAAACAGGTCAGCTACCTTTTACTGCCCTTTTTTTCACTCTTTTTATTTTTCTATATTTACCAATCATAAGTTGTTGACGACGTCGTTCGGTGACGAACAACCTAATATTTTTTTCCATTTTTATATTTGGTTTCCTTCTTCACAAGAAATGATTCTCTGCGTCGACAGCGTGTTGCAATCTGAGGAAGTCCGATCCCTTAAGAGAAGATGGGACCCATGAGACGGAGGATTTTTCTGGAGAATGCCACATCACCAGAGGAAGCAGGTGATAATAAAACTTCTTGTTGAATAGTAGAATGGATAAGTGACGTGTCCGTAAAGCTCTCCAATTTCCTGTCTGCTTCTTCTGTAGGTGTATACCTTTCCGGAGACGTGGCTTTAGTTTGCAGTTTACACGTCTCGTGTACGTATACCGATGGTTTTACTATTCATCTGTGCACCCGCTTTCTACAGCCGACACCTGTCCTTCTCCGTAGATGAAGTCAAAGACTTTGTTTTACTGGGAGCCCAGAAAATGAATTGAACTTCGATGGTTCGATCCAATCCAAAAGTAGGAATTACAAACTACTTTTGTTGGTAAATTAATTAATTTATTTTGGCTATATACAGAAAATCATAAAAATAAATAGTGGCGTCTTAAATTACCTTCTTAATTCTTTCAACTTATAACAAATCTATTCTGAGCTGGGAATGATAGATTTGTCTATCTAACCTCACAAATATGGAGATCCTATTAATCAAGTAAGAATCAATCAATTAGTTTTTTTTTTTTTTTTTTCAGATAGCAAGAACGTAAACTGAACCAATTTATTCTCTCACCTTTTTTGCTTCTTGAGGGAAAATACTACTTTCGGGCCTTTTCGTTTATTTAGTGATGAAATTAAGGTATTCTCGTTTTCTCTTTTTTTGGTAAAAAAACAAATATAGATTAAGTTCATCCCCTTCATGCATTGTCTTATCGGCGAGCGCTAAACATTTATCATTCGATTGCCAACCCATTGCCTTGTCGGTGAGCGCTAAACGTTTAATACACGGATGTCAACCCACGTCATATACCATTTAAAGATATTTTTTAAAAATTAATCGAATAAAACAATCTTATTTTAATTTCATTGGTTTCCCTTTTCTTCTCATATTGTAAGGATTTATTGAGATTGAGTATTTCTCTCAGCTTTTTTAGGTTGTATAAAAACGAACTTCATTTTGAAGACACTTTGGAGTTTGGTGAGCATTAAAAGTTATAGTATTGTTAAATTTATTATCAAGTTTGTTATTTTCATAATTTGTTGTTTGAAAATTATTAATACATCTTTTTTTATTAATTTTTATTACTTTATTATATTTAAAATATGTTTTATATCAAATACTGAAAATATTGAAAATTTAAACATTACAAAAAAACCAAAAAATAAAAATGAAATTTTTTGTCATTAAATCATCAATATATGTCATTATTTATCCTTAATGATGGATTTATGATAATTTCATTTCTATAACTAAAAAAGTCATTACTATTCTCCTAAGGACGAAGTTCTTTTTCTGTTATTAATATGTACAGTTTATATCGTTAAATCAAAATAAATGGTAATCTTTTAAGTTTGATATCCATTATAAAACTGTTTCTATTTTCTTATTTTTGTCACTAACTAACGATGGAACAACTATCGTTAAATCGTATTCACTAAAAACAAATCTATGCATATTTTACAAATTTATTACTCCACAAAGTAATTTTTCAGAAGTATCTATACATAGCGCATTAAGAAGCTATTTGAACTGGTAATTAAAAAAAAAAACAGTCCAATGAATACCTATCCGAAGCATGTAATGTTGGCATATCTCGTGCAAAGAAAAATTTCTGTTACAGAACGAAAGCCTAGTTTAGCAACCAAAACTCATTGTTGAAAAATCATACAGTAGAAGAAAAGAAATAACTAAATAATAATAGTAGTAGGAACGATCTAAAGCTTGACTTTGAACATATACTTCTTTTAAGTTTAAAATTATCCTCTTTACTGTACAATGAAACGAGAGCTTGAAGGATGCATTCTTCATTTTTTGTTACATGGGCTAGCTAGTTTTTAATTTGATGGAATAATATTATCTGATCTCATGGACAATTGACAGAGAAACAAATACACAACTTCGAAAAAGTAATTAATGAGACCGAGAATGGCCAAATTAATCTGAAAGAGACAAGATTTTCACTCTAATTATAAGTAATTCGAATAAAAAAATGCGCATGATTGAAAAAAAAAATTTAAAACCTACTGCTGCCAGACCATTATTAACACCACACTATCGTTGCGATATCTATAATTTTTAGAACCATCAAGAACATAAGAATGTCAGGTCGATTTCATGTGAGCAACAAAAAACAATGGTTTTCCACTGAAGAACGGGAAACCGACAATCCAGTTAATCATTAACTGACCTTGCATGCCTTCAAAAATAAATTGCTCTTTGATTCATCCCATACAATCATCACTTGACATAATAAAAGAGCTTACCCAAAATGCACCCCAAATTACAAAAGCCCAAAGCCATAAAAACAACAGAAACCCAAGAGAGAAATTTTTTATACAGATATGAAGAACTCTAATTAATCTAATTAAATTAACAATTTAAATTAATTAATTTAAATATCAACTAATCAATAAATTAACCGAATCAATTAACAATTAAAATATAAACAAAATTAAAAGTCAACCAATTAATTAGAATTAACCTAACAATTATGAAAAATAATAATTTTTTAAAAAACAAGAGAGAGAAAAAAACATACCTTCATATAAGCGGAAGAGACGGAGAGGAATGAGAAAATTTGGAGCTTTTTAGGGAGAAAAGAGTTTGGGATGGGTGAGGGCTATTGGGGAGTGAAGGAGCGGATTTTTGTGGCGGTTTTGGGTGAGATCAGTAGCAGTGGAAGAAAAAGAGAGGAAGAAAAAAATGAAGGAAGAAGAAAGAGAAATTGTGATTTAGGAGTTTAGAATTAGCAATGGACGTGATTTGCTCCCTAATTCGTTGCTAATCAATGATGAAAGCAAGTGTACCTTGCTAATCCATCGCTAATCAACAACGGATGTAAATATTTTTTGCTAATCCATCTCCGATTTAGCGGGAATTTGAATTATCAAAGTCCGCTTATTTTTTTAATATTAGCGATAGACTTTCAATTCTTAATTTACGAGAAAAAAATACAGTTTTATTTATTTATATTTTTAATCCACACACTTAGGGCTCCTAATAGGATTTGAACTCGTGACTTTTTGTTACAAAAAATCACTACCACTGGGCTACAAGCTCTTTGGTGAAAATACGTGGTTAGCGATAGAAATTTCGTCGCTAACCCTAAACCCAAAAAATAGTGATGGAATAAATAGTCTTTTGTTGTTGTTCCTTGCAATTTTCTTGTTAAGTGGTCTTTAAAATACTCATGAATATTTTGTTGTCAAATACAGCAACGAATACACGTCCCTCGTTGAAAATCCATTGCTAATTCGTCGGTATTCCATAACTGAGGTCCACAATTTGACAATGGTCATAATTCATTTGCTGATCCGTCACTATCTAACAAGAGACTACAATTCATTGCTAATTTCCATCACTATTTTTCAATTTTCTTATGGTAAAATATACATGAAAAAAAAATCGAAATGTAAAAATATTGACGAACATTTTATATGTTTGATATAAATATATTTATATATGATATAGTAACAAAAATTGATGTGTATGTTTGATATAAAATATATTTATCTATGATTTAGTAACAAAAATTGATGACCATTAGTTCACTAATTATAGGTTCCAACACCAGAAGATTTCTTTTCATGCTTAGAAGAGGCAGTAGTTCCTTCTTTTATTTATCACACAAGTCTATTCTAAGCTGGGAATGGTAGATTTGTCTAACTCATCAAATTTTGAAACCCTAATAATTAAGTAAGAATTAATTAGTTACCTTTTCCTTTTAAAAACATGAATATAGCTTGAACCTTTTTTTCTCCCTCAGCTTTTCTGCTTGAGGGAAAATACCACTCTTGGGCTTGATCTTGAAGGCACAAGTTTAGTATCCATCATAAATCAAACCATTTTTTTTTTCACGGGAGGCCCATTGATCTTAGACTACACAATTCCAAGGTTATCAAACTAATTATTTTTTTATTTTTATGGTTTGTAGGATTTGAATATTAATATATGTATTGAAGCCTTACTTAATACAAGCAATTTACAACTTCTTTATTTCTCTAAATATATCAAATTGACGTGGAATTTTAGGATTATTCAAGAATGAGATTTGGTTTTTATTGATACGTAAATTTGTCCGAACATTAATATCTCTTACAGATGAAAAAAAAAGAGCCTATTTATTTCCATCTGTTTTTCCTTTTAAAGCATAAGAATTAAGAATATAATTTGAACTTGAGTATTCCTTTGAGCTTTCCAGTTTATATGAACATTGAAGGCACTGTTGAGTTTGGTGCGCATTGAATTAAAGTTAAACCCAACTTGTATTTTTCCTTTTCGTTTAAATTTCTGCTACGTACTATCAATTAATTACTTGGTCCCCAATTAGGTTTCAACGAGAAAAGACCTCTTCGAAGGACCGTTGAAATCCATAAATGGTGGAGCTCCAACCCACGTTCATTTTTGGCAGGAAATCAACTATTAAATCGTATTGGTCCATA